TGAGGTGAGGGGTGCTCTTAGGCTCTATGCCCACCCTGAGGCTTTTTCCGTGCCTACCAAGCCTGACCCTCCCTGTTTTCTTCTCCCTTTGACTCGCCGCCGCGAGCCAGCCAAATCCCCCTCCCCGCCTCCCCGGGGCCGAGACCATGATTCTTGTTTGGGCCTCGGGAACAAGAGTGCCAACCAACGGCTCCGCCTGGAGTGTCGGCAGCTCTCTGAGGTGTGTTGGAAGAACTCCAGGCGAGCATCGAAAGGGTTGTTTAATAATATCTGACGGGCGCGGAAGAATTCGGGCAGGCAGCCAAGATACACACGGCCTGTAATAGTTAACTCGATCTGTAAACAGCTCAAACGGCACTGGGGAGGCCACCGGCTCTTACATTAGCGGCCCGCCTTTCATCTCGCCGCGCCACAGGCAGCCTCGGAGGCCCTGCTGGCCGCTCCCGCTGGCTGTGGCGAGAGTTGCAGGCGAGGGCCTGCGGGCAAGCCGCGCTGGACACGGGCAAGCCCGGCTAGCCCAGACAAAGGGCCTCGCTGCGAAGGGCTGACCTTCAAACCTACCGAGCTAGAGCGAACGGAGCAGGTTTCCTTTGCTTCGCACGTGGTCGAAATCCACGAGGGCCGCCGCCCTCCCCACCGCCGGGAGCGTGTCTTTCGTGGCCGTTTTCTGAGCCCTCGGTTCACCCGGCCCGGACAGCTCGCTTGAGCCTCTGGGTTTCAAGGCCAGCGGGGTGGAGCGGGCTTCTCGAGCCTAGCGCCCCCTCGATGGTTGTGTTCACACGACATGCTTAAAAAGGTTAGATGAACACACCCTGCTTTGTTTCCGCAGCTCGCTAATCCTAGTTATGCTGTATCCAGGTTTGGTGTGTTGTGGGAGCCCAGAATGTTTGCTCAATTTGTGGTGCAATGCACTGGGGAAGCACAGAAAATGGATTTTATTCCACATCCAAGTTAAGCATGCTGGATCAATTGGGACAATATCTGGCTGGAAATTCTGAAAGTCTTAGTCCTAAAACTTCTGGAAATTAGAATGGGGAAGTCTTCAGTATATGGTAGATCGCCCATACAGTATTTCACCAGTGAAGTCGAGAGCAAGGTTGCAATATACTGTTGGAAGAAAGGTCTTCATCGTGGTTCATCCTTTCTTCCAACAATACTAAGGTAGCACTAAGTTAGGGAAGCTGCCCAACCTTCCTTCACCAACTATTTGCAAGTCTTCCACCTAGTCAGATTGTTTCCCTCTTCTAGACAAATATGTTTTGTTTCAGTCTGAGTAATTGCCATTGGCAGCCCCCTTAGTTAGATGTCTCCAATTATGGGGAAATCACACATGCATTTCCACTGAATTTCTGTCCTTTCTGCTTTCCTGTCTTCTGGTTGCTTTATATTGCAATCATTAAAAAAAAAAAAAAAAAACACCTATCTTCTACCCTGCCTTCCAGTAATGCAGAAGTCAGAAGGGTGTTTGTTTTTCCCATTAAATATAGGCTACAAAGTCTCATTGTCCCACGGTAGGTTATTAGGAGTTCAAAATACACCTTGGCAACGGTGAGGGCACGAAAACGGCAGTCTCTGTGGCATATAGTTCCCTAGCCTCTGATGATAACCTTGTACATCAGCAATGGGTGTGCATTTAGGGCAAGATTCTGGACTAGTAATCTAGGATCTGCTTAGTTAGATTATTAAATCCAGAATCTAATTTTATCTAGTGTATGGCATCAGAGAGAGAAGAGGCATTTCCTCCTGTATTCTGAGAGTTAACGTCCACATGTGTGTTGTATATTAAAATAACTGCAGCAAAAGATAAGAATCTATAGTCTTCCAGATTTTTCTGAATTACTAGTAGCCTAAACTGCTGATGGTGAAGAATTGTAGTTGTAATTCAATAGCATCTGCAGAACCACAGATCCCTCAACTTTAAATAGCCACAGTCTCTCTAAAATTTTGAATAGAATTACATATGCAGTGATAAAGATTTCTGGAAATGCAGCAGCAAAGAGTTTGCAATTTTTGGCTTACTAAGACTAGTGAACCATATACCATGATTGCTAGAAGGTGAAGAACCATATCTTTGAGATGCAGCACTCCTTCCTTTGATCCATCAGACATACTGTTGGCCCCACACAGAGAAGCTGCTGTGTTAAACAGGCGTGCCAGCTTTCTTTTAACCAGTGTGTGTGTGAGGGGGGGAGAGATGCTATCAAACTTTCAATGAAATTCTCCCTTGATCCTTTGCCAAAGCTAGCAGCAGGTGTGAGCTCACCTTTGGTCTATCAGACAACAGATGCAACAGCGCAGATGGCCATTCTTTCCCCAGAAGAACAGGAATTACATTAGCCATTCCCCTGACCAGCTGAATAAGGGTTGACGCCAGTTGACAGAACAACCCCTTCCAGACTCCAGTAGATGGTCATTTTTTGTTGTTTAATTACCTTTGATCATCCAGTTGCAAAGGTTTTCTTAAAGTAATTTCACTTTACTTGAAGTGGACTGATCAATTACTACCTTTATTTTTATTTTTTTAAGCTCAGTTTTGTGATTGGGACATTCTATCCCCATGTCCATCCCAGCCATTAGGCGTGGCAATTTTTAAGTCGCCCACACCCTTTGGAAGCAATCAAGTGGCTTTGGAGATGGAGCAACCTCCCAATAACACACTCTTTCTTTCTCTCTCTGGCCAGATTATAAGCAGTTCCTCCATTTGATGCCCACAATGGTAACAGCTCTGGCCCTGTGGAAAAAATTGCCAGTTCCTAACAATCTGAGTGCAAGTGAGATCCCTACCATACTTTAAAAAGCATTGTAGAACTGGAAATTAGGACCAAAAAGTAGGAAAGGGTGTATCCTTATACTGTATGCTTCCTAAATCAATTTGACCAGCCACTGAATGACTTGGAATGCTGGTGAACATTTCTTTGATTCAGCAAGTCTCTGTATGTTTTTTATGGAACAGTCTTCCATTAAAATTCCAAAAGGAAGTTCTTGTGAATGAAATTAATTATTTTTCCTACACTTATATGTATGTATGTTGTATTTATATATGTTTGTGTGATTCAAGATCGCATGAACAAAGCTTCAGGGCATTTTGAATTCAAAGGAAACACCTCTCTGTGTTTATGGAGCAACTGTAATCTTGCAAGAATAATCTTTTCCTTGCTGCCAGCTTTCCATTCTAAACAGGAATGGTTCCTTCTTTTAGTCCTGTTCGTTTTCCTTAACATTTTTAATACATTAATTATGAAGGTATACTCTTTAAAAGTGGGACTTGCTAAGAAAGCTAAGATTTAAATCTAGATAAGCGATCTAGATACTGTGTCCTTGTAAGTGACTAATTCATACCCAATTTTAGCCAGGACCTTTGCTAGATAAACTTCAACTGGGCTAAGAAGCAAACTAACTAGTGGTACAATGAAAGAAGAAAAGTCCCATGGATTCCTGGAAACTTTCTACTATATTAACAAATAATTCAGCAGAATGTTTGTACTACTGGCAGCTACTAAAGGTTCTTCAAGGGTAATTGTATGTAGAGCACAGTGTATCTATCTTTTACCTCTTGGTCATATATCTGACTGGTCACTGCAGAGCATCTTCTTGTAATCTATGCTCATTGGTGTATTGAGTCTACAGATTCTCGGAATTCCCAACAAGCATAATGATAACTGAGCTGTAATGCAACTTTACCTGAAAATCATCATTTGGACAGATTGTGAATTATGCTGGATTATGAGTTAGATATGCCATTTAGGTCATCCAGAAGATATTTTAACATTTTCATTAAGCTTGTGTCTAAGAAATGGAAGAATGCCTAAGCTCAATAATGAAAAAATGTAAATATTTATCTGAAACTGACAAAAATTTCTGTAGCATTTTACCCTGCAGCTCAGTTGCTCATCAAGTGTTGATCCACAGTCCCTCCTCAATAATGCAGTCTCTATCTTCTGTATTACAATGTAAGCCAAAAAAAATGATAAAGGGTCTGGAGGCTAAATTGTATGGCAAATAGCTGAGGGAGCTAGATATGCCTAGCCAATTGAAGAGAAGAATTAGGGAAGACATAATAGCAATAGCATTTAGACCAATGGTTCTCAACCTTTTTAATGCCGCGACCCCCAACCGGTCGTAAGTCGAGGACTACTCAACTGGTGCAGCACCGTTTGCAGAATGGGACTTTTGGCGGGCTCAGCAGGGCAGAGACAGCCTGGACAATTCCTATTGGCTTTTGAAAGCCAATAGAATTAGACTCTATTCAAGAGAGTCTATTCTATTGGCTTTCAAAAGCCAATAGAATAAAAGGGAGTAGCACAGCTAAGGAAAAGGGGGGGAAAAATAGCGGACTGCATTGTTTGGCGACCCCCGTGAAATGGTCGTTCGACCCCAAATGGGATCCCGACCCACAGGTTGAGAACCACTGATTTAGACTTATATACCACTTCACAATACTTTACAGCCCTCTCTAAGCGGTTTACAGAGTCAGCATATTGCTCTCAACAATCTGGCTCCTCATTTTACCCACCTCGGAAGGATGGAAGGCTGAGTCAACCTTGAGCCAGTGAAAATTAAACTGCCGAACTGCTGGCAGCTGGCAGTCAGCTAAAGTAACCTACACTCTAAACACTGCGCCACCACGGCTCTTATGATAGCTGTCTTCTAGTACTTAAGGGACTATCACAAAGAAGAGAGGATTGACTTATTTTCTAGGACACCAGAGGGCAGGACAAGAAGCAATAGGTGGAAGCTTATCAAAGAAATTCAACCTAAAACAAAGGGGAAATTTTCTGACAGTGAGAGCAATTAATCAATGGAATAACGAGCCTCCTGGGGTTGTGGGTGCTCAATCACTGGATGTTTTCAAGAACAGACTGGACAGCCATTTGATTGGGATAGTATAAGGCTCATGCTTTAAGCAGAGAGTTGGACTACAAAACCTCTGAGGTCCCTTCCAGCCCTATGATTCTATGATTGTCCTATCAGTAGTAACTTCCCTTCCTTTCTCTTTCCAGTTCCATCCCCTGTCTTTGTGTAATACCAGCGAGGATGAACACACAGTCCCAGGATTTGTGTCCATTGTCAAACTGGAAAGGCCTGAGCGGGATCTCCGGCCATGCCTGTCATTGGCCAATAAGGTATATGTGCTCAGAAGAGATTTAATAACTTCTTCAGAAAGTTTTTTTATCAGCTCCTTGGTTGATTAGATTGAAAATTAAACTCCCAAGTGTCTTTACATTCAAATAGGTAAGGCCCAGACTAAATGGACATAGTTACAGTCTCTCATACACTCTAATTTCTTTTCCTTACACTCTTTTCCATTGGGAAAGATGAAGCATGAACAAGACATTTCAGAAATTGCCATTCCAGATCATCTCAATTGAGATGTTAGTGCTGGGCCTCACCTTTCTATTGGGAAAGACACTGGGGGAGGAGAGCCTTTGGGAAATGGTATTTAAAGATTCCGTATACACAATAAATGTGTGCATATGTCAGATTTCCATGTGTGTCTGGCTTTCTGTCACCTACTTGCCTATCCATCTATCAATCCATCTGCCAGAAATGCATTTACCTTATTTTAACTTAATGCAAAGAGAGGCAGTTTGATAAATAGAGGTTAAAGCATCTGACTAGAAACCAGGAGATTATGAATTCTAATCCTGCCTGGGCACAAGGCCAGCTGGATGATGTTGGGCTAGTCAGTTTTAGCTCTAGAAAGGAGGCAATGGAAAACCACTTCTGAAAAACCTTGCCATGAAAACTGCAGGGACTTTTTCTGACTGTTTCCAAAAACTGGACACAATTGAACAGAATAAAAAAAAGTTATTGTTAAATTTGGTTGTAGAAATGTGATTTTCTATCAATTATTGCTTCCCCAAAATACTCAGCATGATACAAGGGAATACTGGATTTATTAAATGAGAGTGGGTAGGAGGGGAGAAATACTGATTAGCCTGTGTCTTGAACTCAACTTAGAACTGCTGGCTGGCTTCGACAGAACAAATGGGACTCTTTGCTAGTCATCCCTGTTAAACATGACTTCATATGCAATTTCTGCTATATTCTTTAGACTCCATATTCAGGAAATGAGCAAATTTGCACAGTGCTCTTTGCTTTGAAAATGAGAGCTACATTTCTTTTAGTGAATTCATCTCTCAGACCAAAGATTCTTAAAAAGCTTTGTAGAGTCTGAAGTGCTGTAAGGCCCACGTTTTTTGGATTAGTATAATTTTTAAGACAAGGCCACTGCTGACCATTAAGATTTTTTATCATTTTGTCTTTTAGATTCTGTTAGGATAAATCAGAATTAGAATTAGAATAACAGAGTTGGAAGGGACCTTGCAGGGTGAAATGAATTCATCCCAAATGTGCATGCACATGTAAATGCTGGAAAGGTTTAAAGAAAGCGTAACCAGTTTCCCAGTTTGAGAGCACCTTTACAGGAAAATTAAGCTTTTTCAGTTCCCAACCTCCCAGGGCAACCCTGGAGCCTGAGATCTGCAGTGCCTTTGATCTTACAGCTGAGAAGTTGTACTGCTAACCTCTGACCTCCCTGTTCAAGGCAGGCTTGGCAATTGCGAAGCCAGCCTGCTGGAGCAATTCTGGCGGATACCTGCTCGCACACGCTTTCCAAGGACGCTGAGATCAAAGGCAGCTGCTGAGAGTGTTCCAGCCTCTGCACTTTGCTCATCAGACTTCCTTTTTTCCTTCCTTCCAAAAGAGGCAGGTGTTAACCATTTCCATGCCAGAATTGTCCACAACTGTGATTCTTCAGTTCTAGAGGTGCTAGGGACTATACAGAAATAGCTAGTGGCTCAATACTCAGTACCCTCAATACTCAAAGGGACTCATAATCAACTCCGGTGTTTCTCAGCTTTGGCAACTTTTAAGAGACAGGGACTCCAACTTTCAGAATTCCCTAGTCATCAGGAATTCTGGGAGTTGAAGTCCACGCCTCTTAAAATTGTCAAGGATGAGGAGTACTGATATACTCCAAAGGCCTGACTTCAAATCCCAGGGCCTCAGGCCTTTGGAAAGGACATTTTTAATTTTCCTGCCTAGTTTGGAGAGATGCTAACTGATCAGCACTAGGCTAAATGGATATTTGATCTCATCCAGGAAAAAAAAACCTCTTGTTAGTGGTTTTTCTTTTGGGGTGGGGGAGAGAGGACCCAGTTACTTCAGTGGAGCAAACATGGAGAGTAATAGTCCAAAGTTGTACTCCAAAAGTACATTAATAGCAGGGATTTGCAGACGTGTGTGTGTGTGTGTGTGTGTGTGTGTGTGTAAATTTGAACTTGTCCTTTGAGTGGTGTGCTGGTGCCTGCATTTCAAAACAAGATAGAAATGGCATTGAACTTAATTTAAATATATCTTAATTAGAGTTAATTAGATTTCATACTATACATTTAGGTTGATGATTAGAGTTAGCATTGTATGCTTCAAAAATAATTTACAAGGGCAGCTCTTTTCTTTTGTTCATTAAAGCTCACACATCACTTTTCAAGGCCTGAAACATGAAAAAAATGCCACTGCTTTGAAAGTTTCATTAAATGTACATTAGTTTAATTTGACTCCTTAAAACATCAGCATCTTTCAGAAAACCTGAAGATCACATACACTTTAATGCGTAGCAGAAGGGTACTGTGTTCATGTGAGGTGTGAATCTCTTCCTCTAAATCATTTTTAAAGCATATACAGCTCAGATATTTAGTATTTCCCTCTTCCATCATATAATTTAATGACAGATTTTGGAAAAACAGCATACAAAGCCTTAGAAGGTTATATGTAGTCTGAGTATCATAGATAAAGTTCTGATGAACATGTTCAGATCAATTCTAGGGACTTGTTCTAAGCTTTCTTAAATTGCATGAACAATAGAGGAGTTACAAATCTAATAGTATAGCTCAGTGATAGCGAACCTTTTAGAGACCGAGTGCCCAAAAACCGCCCCCCACCCCCGCTCCGCTTCCCGCCCTGCCTGCTCCGCTCTCGCCTGCCCCCTGCCCCACCTGCCTGCAGGGCCATGCACTGCATCCATGGCCCATTGCAGAAGATTGCCCAGGCAGCCCTGCAGCGCCATGGCAGCCACGCCCTCTGCCCACACCCCGCAGCATCATCTGCACACTATGGGGTGTGAGGGCAGAGTCTTGTCCCTGTTGCCCAGCTATGTCCTTGGCTGTGCTGCTCCATGCGGCCGCGCCTGGGGGCGACTCTCCTCCAGGGGGGCTGCTGGCGAGGAGAGGGCCATGAAGAGAGGCGGAGCTAGGGCGACAGCACGCGTGCCCACAGAGAGGGCTTTGAGTGCCACCTCTGGCACATGTGCCATAGGTTCGCCACCACTGATATAGCTAGTCCTCGACTTACTACAGATCATTTAGTGACTGAAGTTACAACAGCACTGGAAAAAATGACTTATGACTGGTTTTTACACTGATGACTGTTGCAGCAGTCCCATGGTCATATGATCAAAATTCAGACACTTGGCAACTGACTCATATTTATGATGGTTGCAGTGTCTTGGGGTCATGTGATCACCTTTTGTGACCTTCTGACCAGCAAAATCAATGGGGAAGCCAGATTCACTTAACAACCATGTTACTAACTGAACAATTGCTATAATTCACTTAACAACTGTGGCAAGAAAGATCATAAAATGGAGCACAACTCACTTAACTGTTCGCTTAGCAACAGAAATTTGGGCTCAATTATGGTCGTAAGTCAAGGACCACCTGTTTAAATTTAAACCTGGCCTGTTTAAATAATCATGTATATTATAGAGGCCAGCATATAAACAGTCAAGAAATGGATTGCAGATAAGACTGTAGCTGAGGGCCTTTGTCTTTGCTCTTGGCATTTGCAAGAGAGAAACATACAAATGTCACCAGAAAGTTTAGGGCTACAGTGTTCAATCCCTATTTTCCTAAATTTTGTGGTTGGGTTTATTAAGCTTATTGGATTCTTAATTCCCCTATTCGATTTCCTGTTTTTGCAAAACAACATGTCCTCCTGTAATTTGGTTGTTTACCATTGCATAAGATTTTGTGGAATTTGGGACCATAGATGGGACTGGGGGCGTTTTGTAGCCCAAAGGTTACCCACTTCCTAGTGCAGTGGTTCTCAACCTTTCTAATGCCGTGACCCCATAATACAGTTCCCCATGTTGTGGTGACCCCCAAGTAGGTGTGGCCACCAATAAGAGGGAGTAGGACAGCTAGGGAAATGGGAAAAAAAATGGCGGACAGCGTGGTTTGGCGACCCCCATGAAATGGTCATTCGACCCCAAATGGGGTCCCAACCCACAGGTTGAGAACAACTGTCCTAGTGTAATGTAAGGAATCAGATGAAGGGCAGCAGAGACTGTTTTACTACCCCAATTATCAAGTGACAAATCTCTGAATTCTGAGCAACATTGTAAGGGTTTTTGGAGACATGATTTTGGATACCACACAGCTTTTATACCAACTTGAAAAATGTCACCTTCCAAAAGAACAGGTTGCAAAATCGTCAAAGGCACATTTTCTGGCATTGCATCAATTCTGATAGCCAATGAGTTTCTGAGAATTGGGTAAGGAAGGAGGGAAAGATATTGGCAATCTTGACTCCAGCAGACATGGAAGAAGTTAGTCTTGCAGTTCTTGTGTATAATTATAAATAGGGGTGGGATGAATTTACAGAGAAGGGAAAGAGGAAATAAAAAGAGCCAAGAAGTCACTATTGGCTTAGCTTGGCTAAGGAGAGGCCCACTCTGCCAGCATTTCTTCACAAAAAGGCTGAGCTCCTATGCTTTGGCCCTACTGCCCAAACCCACCCATTCCATCATCAGGGCAGCATTAAACTTCTTTGTCTGTATACTAGGGGAAGGAGAAAGGAGAGTCAGTGTATATCCTTTAGGGAAGAAAAATGCAGAGAGTTCTCTGTTTAGACCATCCAGTTGACTTAAATACAGGTAATCCTCAACTTACAACAGTTCATTTAGTGACTGTTACAATGGCCCTGAAAAAGGTGACTTAGGACCATTTTTCACAGTTAACAACCTTTGTAGCATCTCCATGATCATGTGATCAAAATTCAGATGCTTGGCAACTGGTTGATACTTATGAACGTTGCTGTGTCTCAAGGTCAGGTGATCACTTTTTGCAACCTTTTGACAAGCGAAGTCAATGGGGGAGCCAGATCCACTTAACATCCGGGTTACTAACTTATCAACTGCAATGATTCACTTAATAACTGTGCCAAGAACGGTCATAAAATGGGGCAAAACTCACTTAACAAATGTCTCACTTAACAACAGAAATTGTGGACTCAATTGTGGTCATACGTTGAGGACTACCTGTAGGTAGGTGCTCTTAATGCACTTGGAGAATATGCCTGTCCCCTTTATATACATGAACTGTGCCTGCTTCATTTAAGTCTTTGACCATAAACAGAGTGCCCTGATGATAGTATTGCTTTCCCCATGGATATGTTCATTGTAGAACATGCTAGGGCTCAACCTTAGATCATAAGAGCGATAAAGAAACAGTTCTTTCAAGTGTTTGCCTGTGTCCTTTGCTCACCTCTAACTATCAGATCTTAAAGGACAGGTTAGGTCTTCTGAGGGACTAATTCCCAAATTCCTGTTTCAGGGAGAGGCTGAGCCTGGCAGTGCCCACTGCCCCTTTGTTTGCCTTTTTCATGTGCCTGCCTGAAGGCTGCCCGCACTAAAGCTCAAAGCTTAGAACTGGCGAAAAGCCCCTGCTGAATGGCTCATACAGCCTCAGGCTTTGGTGAGGCAGGGCTGCGGTTCACATCCTAGGCTTTGAAGCAGAGCCAGCGGGTGGCTTTGGGGCCTGCTTGGCCTGGCAGGTATCCAGTGCCAATAGGATGTGGGGGAGGGAAGCAGGTGAGCCAGCTAGCTAGGGCGGAAGGGGTGGGGAAGGGAGTTTAAGGTAGACCAGGGAGAAGTGGGAGCAGGCGTGTGCACTGCCGTGTTTGGGTGGCAGGGCTGCTTTCAGTGTGGGGTAGGAACAGTGGAGAGCTTTGTTTCTCCAAGTAGGGCAGGGCTGGGCTGGGCTGGAGAGGAGGGGAATGGAAAGTCAAAGTCCTGGATGGCTCCTGAGTTTTTCCAAAGAGAAGCAAGATCACACCTTGCTGACCCAGAGCGGGCCTGCTTTTTGTTGGCGGCTGCGGCATTGTTGTCTTTTGAGCTGAAACCAGGAATCAGTGTGTGTGTGCATATGAAGGCTACATATACACACACATGCATGCACACACACAAGTCACAAATCACTTTTTTGGTTACTTTTGAATTTGGATGTAATTCTCGGCTTTGCAGCAGATAAAAGGCTGGAGAGGGACTATTCTTTCAGAGCAATAGACCTTTCCTCCAGTTCTACTTTAAGAAAGTCTTTAATGGGAGATGTCAAGAATTGAACCAAAATGCAGGTCTCAATGTGCCAGTGTTGTGGCCCATCCCTAGTCCTAATTATAGTCTGGACCTACTCTGAAAGCAGGCTGACTCATTTTAACATTTGCATCTCATGATATTGCTCCACTGCTCATGACCACTGATTTATGTGGTTTCTATATTTTAATATATTGCTACAGTTTTATTTTTAAGCTGACTAAAAGCTGTTTTAAAGTTGTACACTGCTTAGAAAAACATAATATGACAGCTGATATATGCCTGCATTTTTAAAAAAGTGGAGGTACCGGATCACTCCTTCTTCAAGCAGAAAGCACTGACCAAGGATTCAGATTAGATAGGGAGTGAGTTGCCCCAGTCTACCCATGTTTCCCTGAAAATAAAAGTGGGTCTTATTTTTTTTTCCCCCAAAAGAGGCACCAGGTCTTATTTTCAGGGGCAACTTCGGCACTGACAGCCCCGCCCAGCCAGCCTACTTCTTCTGGGGCCAAAGGAGCAGCTTCATTCTGCAGCTGCATTCTGGCCTGCATTTTGCAGTCAGGCCTTTCTGGAAGGCCTATGCAGCCGAGTACCGAGCTATGGATTGAATCCATAGCTCGGTTCTTGGCTGCAGTGGCCTTCCAGAAAGGCCTATGACTGAGAAATGCAGGCATGGCTGCAGAAGACATCTCAGAAGAAGTGGGCTGGTGAGGAGAGACCTGGTTGCAAGGTAAGTGGGTGCGGGGTGTGTGGGGCAGCTCCACACCCACATCCCCACTCTAGCTTGATTTTTACCATGTTTTCCCAAAAATAAGGCCTACCCTGAAAAAAAGCCCTAACTTGATTTTTGAGGCGAGTCAAACACCTAAAAATCAAGCTAGGACGGGGATAGGGGTGTGGAGCTGCTCCACATGCCCCACACCCACTTATCTTGCAGCCAGGCCTCTCCTCGCCAGCCCACTTCTTCTGCGGTGTCTTCTGAAGCCCTGCCTGCATTTCTCAGTCACAGGCCTTTCCGGAAGGCCACTGCAGCTGAAAACCAAGCTATAGATTCAATCCATAGCTCGGTTCTGCAAGACCTCTGCAGTCGTGAACCGAGCATAGGTCTTGTGGAAAGGCCTGACTGCAAAATACAGCCAGAATGCAGCTGCAGAATGAAGCTGCTCTTTCGGTTCCAGAAGAATTGGGCCTGCTGGGCGGGGCTGACGATGCCGGAGTTGAGTAAGACTTCCCATGAAAATAAGACCTGGTGCCTCTTTTGGAGGCCAAAAAAAAAAAAAAAGACCTGGTCTTATTTTCGAAGAAACACGGGTAGGTGTGTGCCTCACCCCAAAACTAGGGCTTATTTTTTAGGTAGGCCTTACTTTTGGGGAAACATGGTTGTTCCATTATGAGTGTCCGTCAGCATGGCAGAGGGGGCAGTGCATTGCTTTGGCCCATAGAGGGCACAATCTACTGGGAACATCTTCCAGGCTGGGGGGGGGGGGGCGGAAAGTGCTGCTTGAATGTTCTAGATATTTGAACAACTGGGCTGGGCTGGGAATACAATTTACGGATCCCAAGACATTTAGAACTCCCCAATTTCATTGCGACTGAGTACAGGTAGTCCTCAACTTACAATAGTTCATTTAGTGACTGCTGAAAGTTACAACAGCAGTGAAAAAGATTACTTATGATCCCTTTTCCCACTTATGACTATTGCAGTATCCCCATGATCATGTGATTTAGATTTGGATGCTTGAAAACTGACTGACATTTATGACAGTTGCATTGTCCCGGGGTCATGTGATCACTTTTTGTAACCTTCTGACAAGCAAAGTCAACGGGGAAGCCAGATTCATTTAACAACGTTACTAATTTAACACCTTCAGTGATTCAGTTAACAAATGTGACAAGAAAAGTCATAAAATGGGACAAAACTCACTTAATAAATTTCTTAATTAGCAACATAAATTTTGGACTCAATTGTGGTCGTAATTCAAGGACTACCTATACTACAAATCACACACTTCTTTGTGGCCATTTGGGATTGTTTTCTGTAAATGAATATGTAGATAAATAAATGCATCATTTAGAAGTGAAGAATCAACTTTTTATGAAGTGTGTGTCTCCTGAGTCCAGTAGCTTGCTTTCCAATTATGAAAGACACAGGTAACTCAATACAAACAAGGTTCTCTTTTCCCACAGATGGGGACCACAGAATAAATGTCCAATCTAGTAATTGAAGTGGATAACAAAGAATGAGAAGGGCTACACAGTCACAATAGTGTAGTTATTCACATATATTCTCTTGAACTCTTCCCTCTCTTTGCAGGCAAAACTGGCAGGGGAGAGGGGAGCTCGGGCTGTTCTGTTTGACATTACAGATGACCAGAGTGCTGCTGACCAGGTAAGGAGATTCTGCAGAGAAAGGGAAATGTTCTTTTTTTGTTTTAACAGATTTGCTTTTAAAAAGTGAGAGGCCAGCACTTCCTTCTCTCATTTCCTTCCTTTTAAATATTTCTGAATTTTTATTAATTTTCCAGTAGATGACTTAACAAAAGCAATGTCTTCAGAAGTGCCATCATGAATTGGGACAGTTGTTAAGTAGGTGGGCAAACAGAAATCCCAGAATCTCATATGAACTGACTATGCACAGTCTGGTTCTCTTGCCTCTTCATCCCTGGTAGCCCTATTTCCTCGGACTGTATTCCCGTGTTGTGTTTCCCTCCAGAGGGAATTGTCAGGTCCATTTCTTTTCATACATGTGAAATGTGTTAGTCGCCAGCATAGAAATGGGTATGAGAAGAGGGCAACTAAGGTTCTGGGGGTAAAGACAGCACTGTTAATATTCCCTTATTTTGGCTTTTAGATGACTCTCTTTCCTCCTGTGTCAGGTGACCTGTAAAAACAAAAATATTGTAGCTGCCCTTTCATGTGATACACAGATTATCCCATCTGGGCCAGGTAGTCTCATATTTCCTAATGTTAGGCTTGGCATTTTGCCATGATAAAACATGGAAAAGTGGAGCTAAGCAATGCTTGTTTTTTTTTTTAGTGAAAGTGGATGTGACCCAAGTACTCTTTGGAATCCAGTTCCATCACGCCAGATCCACAAAATATTGTTTCACTTTATTTCACCACTAAAATTGAATACTAGGAAAACAGTATTCAGGGATTTCTTTTGGTATCTCTTGATGATGTAGATTTCAGGTTGTCTTCCAATCTCAGAGCTAGAAATGATCTAATTGTTGATAAGCAAGGACATTTTGCAATCCTGTTAAAAAATGTAATAGCCTGTCTTTACAGTGAAGCTAATCAGATTTAATTATTTAACAAATTTATAAGGTGACTGAGTAGCACACAAAAATAGTAGGGCTTCTGATTGCTTTCTCAGAGTCTCTAAGGACCTATTCCCTGCTTGCAGTTAAACATGGCACAAACTTGTTACGATGTCTTTTTATTGTCCCCACGTCATTGTCTTCATCTCATCCCTGGCCCATGAAAGAGAGAATGCCTTAAGTTATAGAATCTTAGAGATTTTTGAAATTATCTGGTCTAACTCCTGTCTTGTAGTTTTGAAGACTGAATTTTTGCATCAGCAAATATCATCTTAAATCCACATATTTTGTGATGACACTTGCTTTTGTTCTTGTCTCCCTAATTCACACTGGGTTAACAAGATAGAAATTTCCACTAATTGTGATTACAATAGTCGGTATGGCGGAAAAAAAACATGCTTTGGAATTGATCTGTACAGGAAAAGTCAAAGACAAAGAACAAGATTTAATACAGATAAAAAGTGCCTTGTGGCAATAAGGGTGGTGAAATGTGCTTACGGTATTTCTTCATCCTTACTGTGCCTGCAGATTACTGACCAGCGACCCTGTTTTAAGTGACTCACTCTGTTTTGGATAAGGTAGAGTTGGAGGATCGTTTGCAGGTTCATTGTGAGAATTACATTCAGCATCTAATGGATAAAGTTGCTTGAATGTACTTGGAGTTGTCCTGCTTTGAGTTGTGCTGTCCAGTTATCTGGACTGAGTTTGATCCAATTACTTCCAAAGAGATGGATGGGTCCATGGAATGCTACCTTTCTGTTAGATCTGTCTGGCTGGTTAAAGCGTCCCAAGAGGTGACATGTAATTGGGCTCAAGTGAAGATAAATGTCTACTTGTGGGAGGCAATAGTTCTACCTGCCTTAAAGAAGGTAGTAGTCTGCCCCTCATTAAGAGAGCATCACTGTACTCAGGTGTATTGGACAATTTTCATCCAATCTCTAAACTGGGAAGGTTTATTTATTTATTTAAAACATTTATATAGCCACCTATCTTTTTACCAACTTTGGCCAACTCCCAATCAAGGCTGCTGAGGAGGTAGTAGAGATACAGCTTCAAATGTCTTTGGAGGAAGTGGATTTAGAGGAACAGGACTCATTGAAGTTGGGGTTCAGGCTATATATAGCACTGAGATGGCATTGATCATGTTTGCAGATTATCTTTGGTGGATTTGGGATGGGGATAATATAGCCATATTGGCCCTTCTTGGTCATTCAGTAGTTTTTGATACCATCAGTTGTGATATCCTGGGAGGTAGGAGGCACTGTTACAGTGGTTCTCCTTCCCTTAGTTCCAGTTGCGGTTGCTAGGAGGGAAAGGTCCAGCCTTAGGCCATCTGCTTTTCAGCTGCCACAGGGCTTGACTCACTCCCGGGTCCTATTTAATATCTATATGAAAGCACTGCATATGGTTTGGCATAGGATGTAATTTCATCAGTATGCTGATGCCACTCAGTTGCACATCTGTGCCTCAGGCTGTCCAAGTGGTGTATTGAAGCTCTTATGTTTTCCCAATGCCTGGAGGCTATGTAGGACTGAATGGAAAGAACCAGTTTCATTTCAACCTTAACAACCCTGAGTGGCTGTGTGTTCTATAACTCCCCATATCTGGCAGTTTTCCACTACTAACTGTGAATGGAGTAACTTTTCCTCAATCAGAGTTGATATACAATCGGGGGTCTTCATGGACTTGCAGCTTGTACTTAAGCAGCAGATGGCACCAATGGCCAGGAGGGCTTTCACACAAAAACTTATTGTGCACTAGTTGCGCCCATTCCTGGATTGGAGACACTTCTCATTGTCATATTAATCACCCTCGCATATGGACTGTTGCAACACATTCTTCATGGAGCTGCCTTCAGAAGTATTTAGAAGCATCAGCTGGTCCAGAATGCAGTGGCACGTGCAGAATTGCATGCACCATGATACACCCACATAACACACAGCTATGTGCTCTGCAGTGACTCCTGTAGGCTTTTGGTTGCACTTCAAGGAGCTGGTTATCACTTTGAAAGTGATGCATGGAATGGGGCCAGAGTTATTTAGGGATCACCTCTCCCCAATGATTTCTGCCTGACCCACTAGATCTGGTAGAATGGGCATGTTCCTGGTCCCCTCAGTGAGGCAATTTCACCTGGTGGATCCTAGGAAGCATGTCTTTTCTGTCAGGGTGCCTGCCTTACGGAACATCTTTGCCCCAAAATATGGATCATTCCTAACCTTACTAACTTTTCCTTCAGGCATTCAGGCCAGGCTGTTAGTTCTGAAGCTCCACTGTACAGATGTATAGGATGGGTATCCTAAGTCTAAGATATTAATGAGGAACCATTGACCTGGGTTCTCTGTGTGTGTGTCTGTTACAACTATTGACACTTTGTATTTTATGTTTGCTATCCAGAGTTTCATTGGATAGATGGGTGGCCTTATAAATCCATTAAACAAACTCAGTGTATGAAGGCTCAGTAGCTAAATCAGAAAGGAGTATCATTTGGATTTCATGCTTTAGACATCAAGGCAGCTTGATCGTCTCACCTGATCATTAGGATTGTCTTCTTATCACTAAACTGACTACTAAGCAAGCAGCTTTCTGAGCAACACTATATGACTTAATGCGATTTTAAGAATCCAGACTTTGCTGAAACATGCTAAGGAAATGGTTTCCATGTTTTCCCAAAGCCAAATGAGTGTTTGTAGAATGGTCCCAGAGCCCAGCTCATATTCCATCTCTCCACAGTTGAGGAAGCCTCAAGGGCTGAGTCATCCTGTTGTTCTGATCTGGGGCCACAATGCTGAACTTCTCATGAGAGTGGTGAACAATAACCGTGAAGCCCATGTGAAGATTGAGGTGAAGGAAATGCCAGCTTGGGTAAGTAAGCACCTGAGTTTTTCCCTCCCTGGATTCTTAATGAAAATCTGAAGTCACTATCACAGTAATGTTGATTGTGTACCTATACTTTAACTAGCCTCATTTTTTTTCTGTTTTATCATAGACAACTTATGCATTTTTCTCCCTTTAGCTTAGGATAATTTTTCTCAAATTAATTCCTCTTCCAGATGTGTTTGGTTATAACACCAAACCCTCTCCAGCCAACTTAGATATAACAAACTGCTGACTGGGGAAATTTAGCCAAGGCATATTTGTGACATTTATGCTGCTGATATTCATAATCTTGTATTCATCCTTTCTTCATGCCTTGGTTACATTTAGCTGCTCTCAAGAAGGTTTCTGTTTGTTTTATCTATCTACTACAGCGGTTCTCAACCTGTGGGTCGGGACCCCATTTGGGGTCGAACGGCCATTTCACAGGGGTCGCCAAACAACGCAGTCCGCCATTTTCCCCCCTTTTCCTTAGCTGTGCTACTCCCTTTTATTCTATTGGCTTTTGAAAGCCAATAGAATAGACTCTCTTGAATAGAGTCTAATTCTATTGGCTTTCAAAAGCCAATAGGAATTGTCCAGGCTGTCTCTGCCCTGCTGAGCCCGCCAAAAGTCCCATTCTGCAAACGGTGCTGCAAGTTATCTGCAGCGAAGGCAGTTTGGGAGTTTCCACCCCTCCCTGCTGAACAACTATTAAAAATGTAAGTAAAAGAGGGCCAGGGGTGGGAGGTGGGAGGCTGGTGAGCGCAGAGAAGGTTGCTGGTGCACGTGGGGCCCGGCAGGTGCCTTGCCTCCCTTGGCCTGGGCCAGCTGGTGGCCCAGCCGGTGGTCGCCCTGCACCATTGCTGTCCCTTGCCAGTTACGCCTCGGCCAGCGGAGGGGGCGGCACCAAGCATGTGCGGCGCTCCCGGGCAGGGAAAGTCCTTGACTTACGACCGGTTGGGTAGTCCTCGACTTACGACCAGTTGGGTAATCCTCGACTTACGACCGGTTGGGGGTCGCGGCATTGAAAAGGTTGAGAACCACTGATCTACTATATTCTTTTACCTGCACCTTGGTAATTCCCAACTTAAACTATTTTTTTGTCTTCCCATCAAAGCCCTCAAAAGATGTCACTAATCTCATCACTGTGCAGATTTGCATTGTGAAAGAGTTTGATTCATTCTTTCTCCTTTTTTCCCTGTTGCTTTCAGGTATTATTTTGCTTCTTTGGTTAATGGTCCTGGATTTCCTCAAACTACTTGTTGAATGTCTTTATTCTCTGCTTTGAGCATTTACCTTTGAAGCAAAACAGAAACGTAACTGAGATTGTTTCTTGCTCTTTTTCTTGGAAATGTCAGTTTTATTTATTTATTTATTTATTTTAAAAAGCAGTTTATTGCCAAATCTGCATATTTTATGTTTTTTGTACAGGTAGTCCTTGACTTACGATCACAATTGAGGCCAGCATTTATGTTGCTAAGTGAGAAATGTGTTAAGTGAGTTTTGCCCCATTTTACTACTTTTCGTGCCACAGTTGTTAAGTGAATCTCTGCAGTTGTTGAATCAGTAATACAGTTGTTAAGTGAATCTGGCTTCCCCATTGACTTTGCTTGTCAGAATGTCGCAAATGATGATCACATGACCCCGGGACATTGCATCCTTCATAAATATGAACCAGTTGTCAAGCATCCGAATGTAAATGGGGATGCTGCAGTGGTTGTAAGTATGAAAAATAGTCATAAGTCACTTTTTCAGTGCTGTTGTAACTTCAAACAGACACTGAGCGAACTGTTGTAAGTCAAGGAATACCTGTATTATCTTCGCATACTTTTTTTCAACCCCAGTTTACGGTGATTTTTTTTCTTGCTGCTGTGCCAGAAATGGCTCTTTTGATTATATGAGCTAGAATCCTAAACCTAGATTCCTTCACTTTCTGTAATAATTCCACCTTCCTAGTGTGGCTCAATAACTTATTTGTTATAGGCCTGTTGCAATCATCTTTTTGCCTCATGTCCTGTTGTCTGCATTTGTTGTCTTAGATGTCTTTCATCTAGACGCCTATCAGTCTAGCTTTCAAGCTTCTTACTCACAAGAAGCACTCAGTCCTATCTTAATAGTCTTTTCTTTGTTAATGTGTGCATTTTTATTGCATTCTTGTTTAGTTATAATATTATCAGATTCCCCCTGTGTAGTAAATCTGTTGATTGGAGTAGGATTTGTTCTTAATAGTTTCATTCCTATTTCCTTGTTTGTTCCTTTTGTACTCAGATTTCTCATTCTTTTTCCTTTCTCTTCTCTGCTGATATCCCTCATATTTCTAGCCTTAATCCCCCTTTATATTTTTATAATTCCTTCCCAGATGGTTTTTTTCTGTATTATTTTTATGTTGGTTATATGTATCCATATTTGATATTTCTACATATTTCTGTTATTTTCTGCCTAATCATCACCATCTGAAACTTAATATTCTAATGTGGAATTTCTAGTTATTCCAGCTTAATCTAACCTTTTCTCTTTTACTCCTTTTTGCATTAGCAATATTTATGTCTCTTACTTTTCTACTGCATGTTACCATGATACTGTTTGATTTCTGGCTCAGATAAATTGTATGGTTTAATCAAATTATTGACTAAATCATAGGATAATATAACGTAAACCAGTATGGGTGTATAGAGATTTCAATTGTCGCTTCATCACTACACTGATTTGTTTTGGCATATCATGTGACGTTGCCTATTGGAATGAATGACACAGCTCTAATCTCTTGGATCTTCCCAACAGCCAGACTATGATGTTTGGATACTCCTCACCGTTGTCAGTACAGTACTGGTCATTGTTATAATCTTCATTGTTCGCACTCGTTGTCAGCCAGGCAGAAATCAGGTAAGAATGGTTTAGTAGTACTCCATCTGATATCAAACGTTCTCAATCCTTCAGAAAATGTTCCTCTCTCCGATAATATGATTAATATTTTACTTGGGTCCTGGTGATCCATGAATCATGAGAGTCTGTGTATGCAACCTAAGTCCCCATGGAATTTGAACTATAGGTTTTGGATGTCAGACACATATTTTACAGTGGCACCAAAAACTCACAAAGCACAAGAATTGGGTATTGTATCATTCCAAACCTCTAATAGTATTTTATTTAATATTGTACTTAAACTTGTATTACTCCATTTCTGGAGACTCTAAGCATCAGGTTGCTTTATTTAAAGGGTAGGCAGGCTTTTGGGACAGATGGGCCCAATTAAATTTTGATCTGACATGTAAAGAGGTTTTATGGAAGCATATTATAGGGATTTTGAAAAAGTAGCCGCATGATGAGTTTAGCTGTTTATTTATACATTTATATACCCAACAACTCTGTAATATTCATTTACTGTACAAGGAAAGCTAGATTCTCCTCCTAGTCTGGCTCAGCCTAGCTTCCCAGCAGCAGATCAAAGAGATGAGTTTTCTTGTCTACAGCCTCCCAACCATATCTTCTATACATTGTGCTGCTAGAAGAGTTCTCAGGGTTCTCCTGAAATTCTTGTGACTTTGTATAGGTGGGTTTTCATTGCTGTTACCTTAGCAATGGTATAGCAGCACACTGTAGGAAGATACAGCTCCCTAAAGAATTTCCTGCATTAAGCAAGAGAGGTTTGGTTGAACTAGGTTGCCACAAACCCCTTTAACTTGGTCATCTATTTAAACTGAGAGGAAATGCTGATTGTTGTGATCCATATCAGCTGTGCAGGAAGTGAGGCCTTGGAAGATTTCCTCCCTCTATTTTCTCATTCTTCCTCAGACAAATGTGCAGGAAGCGACCATACAAGCAATCAACCGGCTGGCCATACGGAGGTATCAAGGCCCCTATCGGCATGCTCCAACAGGGGACTCTGTTAGCACCTGCAGTTCTCCTCCTATATGTGCAATTTGCTTGGAAGAATTTTGTGAGGGGCAGGTAAGCATATTTTTCTGGGTTTGGGAGTTCTCATGTAGATTCTCAGGTCAAATAAGCAGGCCCTTCACAGTAGACTATAGCGAGTGAGAAGAATGCCAAAGCCCCCTGTTTTTAGAGCAAGGTGAAAATCAAGTCTAGCCAATCTGTTTACATGTGCATTCTATATTCTAGAGTTCCTTGGTGTGCACTGTGGAGTGCTCTTGGATATATTATTGGATCTAATTATAATTTTTTAAAACTTTGTTGTCATGTTTTGTTATTTGGAGGGCTACATAAATTTGAAAAATTAATCTAAAATGCATTTTAGTGCATTTTTCACATGATGAAAAACAGCATTGTACTGCAAGTTCTGTATCTTTTGGGTAGTATGATGATATAATGCATGTAGAAAGGACATGTGTGTGCTATAATGCTGGTTGGATCACCCTGACCACCCTTGCCTCCCCACTGAGATCAGTCTGGCCCCACCTGTGAACAGGAGAAGGAGCAATGTCAAAAAACTTTGTAACTATGAACTAATGCCTATTTTAATTCTTCCCAATCATTCAACTATCTTATTTTAGTCTTTATAAATCATCATTTTGTAACTTTTTTTTATCCTTAGACTAGATAAAAAACATACGAAACCTCAAATGATAGTGAGGTTTGGGAGCCACAAGACGTTCACAAGACTTTGGTTCCTAAACCTCACTACTTGTTTAAAGCTCAGAGATTTAACCACATTCCCACCAGACCTTTCCAGTGAGATACGCCACAAGAAATAGGAGACTGACCTACCCAAATCAAGACTGTTTCTTCCTTTGAATCTAGATCACTGCCTTCCCATCCCATTGCTTTTTCCTATTTTACAGGAACTACGGATCATCACCTGTTCCCATGAGTTCCATCGGCAGTGTGTGGACCCTTGGCTCCAGCAGCACCAAACATGTCCATTATGCATGTTCAACATTGTTGGTAAGAGTGAGCAGAAAAATCTCTGAGAGTAGTAGTTAAAATCAGACATGCTAAATCAGTCCTAAGACTATATAGTATATACCAATTCCAATTTTATAAATTCCTCCTTTAACTTCGTTTGTTGGTGCATTTTTTTTATTCTTTTTTGCCATGTAAGTTATAGCCAAACCTCTAAAGTATGCTTTAGCTATATCCCACACATTTTGAAGCGATGTCTCTTCTTATTTTAAAGAAAAATTCCATTTCCTTTGTTGCTATTTGTATAAATTCTTTCTCTTTCAGTAAAGATTGATTCAGAGACCATCTTAGTTTTTTCTTAGCTCCTCTCCAAGTCATCTTTATCGGATTATGCTCTGCCCACATATATATAATCGTGCTTAATTCAGGGGATACCATATCATATTCATTTCTGGACCGTGATTTGTGCCTGTTTGAGTAAAATGTAAATTGTGATTTTTTGGGGGTTGTTCTAACAGTTTGTAATGTTGTCTTTTAATATGTGTTTCTTGGAGACAGACTATATCCATTTTTAATTTTTGTAGTGTAAATCATTTTTTTCTTTTTGCGGGGGAGTTCAATCCATTTATATTCATTGAAAGAATTCCATTTTCCTTCTCCATCTTCTTCAATTATATTTAGGTTTTATTCTCCTAGTTGTTTTTATCTGTCTTTGTTTTCTTCCTTTTACCCCTTCTTCTATGATAGTGTTTTCTGTTTCTTCTTCTTCCCTTGGTTTGGCTGCTCCTTCTATTGCTATCTCTTCCTGTTTGTTTGCTTCTCTCGCTGCATGAAATTCCTTTCAAAAAAGTTTTGTATCTGTCATAAAATTCCATTGCCTTGAGTGCGCATCCAATCTGTATCTTTTCATGTCCTAATTAATTAAAATCCCTTCCAGAATCAGCCATCTGAAGTTCACTCCTTTTTCAATTAGTTTTCTGGTCAAGAATTGGTATTCTCTTCTTGAATCTCTTATCCTCCTAGGGATCTGCTTCAGCACTACAATTTCCTTTTCTTTATAATGCAGAGGATCATCTCTCGCTCTTCTCAATATCTCATCTCTTATAGATCTTTTGACAAATCTAACATGCACTTCTCTAGGGACTTTATTTCTCCTTGCATAGCTTGAATTCACTCAAAATATCTGGTCTCTCTCTCCTTCCATTTCTGGGTTCCCTATTTCTAGTGCTTCAGCCAATAGCTCTGTCATCAAATCCACGAGATCCTCTTCTTTGTCCTCCATTACTTTTTGAAATCTTAAAAAATAAGATGCCTTTTCCATTTCCAAAACTGCCATTGAGTCTTCCAATTCTCTATTTGCCTGCATCAGCCTCTGATTTTCATTTTTTATATCTTCTTCTGATCAGTCTCTATTGACTTGTCTTCTATTTTCTGAATTCTTTATTCATGCTTTGTAACCATCCGTTGGAAGCTTTCTAGTTGAGAGTTTATGTTATGAATTTCTTGATTCATTTTCTCAAAGTTGTTTTTTGTCTCCTCATGGTTTTTCCTTGTATCTTCTTTGTGAGAGGAGATTGCCTCTTGGATTGCTTGTAATGCCCCTTGCATCTGGGAATTGTTAGATTTTTTCTTGTTGAAGCATTGATTCAATTTATCTCTGATACACAGGGCTTGCAGAGATGGAGGACGGGGCTGAGGGTGTTTTCTTGCCAGTTTTAGCTAAATTCAGAACAGTCATTTTTAATTCTTCCTCCCCAAAATTTTATCAACTCTTTACTTTTCCCAGATGTCCGTCTTATATCAAACGATTAATCTTGTGTTCAATACCACAATATATCATTTAAATTTGTCTTTAATAACTCTTGTAGTTCTTATCTATAGTTTCTATAGTCCAATAAACTCCCTGAAAAAGAAGAGAGAAAAGAAGAAGAGAAAAAAAAGAAATTTTGGAATTCAATTCTGTTTGTGAGGCTCACTTCCAGAGCAGTTGTCCAAAATCCAAGATTATTGCTCAGTGAAATTTATAATCCACAAGGTCCTACTATTCAAAATTAATAGTCCATAGAGCCTTCTCCAAAGAAAATCACCAACAGTTAAGCTTCCACTGTCCTTAAATAGTTCTGTGACTAAAAGTTTATAATCCAATAGACAACAAGAAAAAAAGGGAAAAACAAAAAATATAAGGGAAAAGACAAAAAAGGGAAAAGAAAAAATGAGGAAAGGTATATACAATTGGCAATCAAATGCCTCTGAGAATTCCACAAACAGATGATGGGTACAATACTCTTCTTCCACAGTTGTTCTCAGACATTAGAATTCAGAGGTATTCTATCTAAGAGCATAAAGATTCTGAATTATTTAACAAGAGATATCTACCCATTAACTCACCTGCATTTTGTTGAATGAATATTATTTAATTTCTTGGACTAAAAAGTGTAACAGTAACTGAATGGGGCTGCCATTGCAGGCAATTTGGAGGCAACAGTTGGCGCAGAATATAGTGCTCAGGCTTCTGTTGGGAGAAATACCAAATGTGATTGCTCTATTGATAGCCAGTCAGGTTTGGATCCAATTCAAAGTGTTGGGCATGACTTAGAAACCCTATGTGGCTTGGCAGGAGGTTATTTTAGGGACTATATTATGCAAAATATGTATACTATTAGGACTTCTGGAGAAGGTTCTGTTTAAGATGAAGTCTCTGCAAGATCAGAGAAAGCCATACACTAAAAAACAGATCTTTTTTTAAATTTTATTAGAATTTTTGAATAGTATACACATTTGAAAGAAAAATAAGAAAAAAATTAAAATATGAAAAAGAGAAAATAAAAGCAGGTCCTCTCTATGGCTGCCCTCAGATTATCAAATGTATTGTCCTCTAGAACAGTGCTTCTCAACGTTTGTGTGACGGCGATCCCCGTCACACAAACGTGCCGCGCATGCGCGGCGCCACCCCCCAAGGGGGAAAAATGGCGGATCGCCTTGTTTGGCGACCCGCGAGAAATGGTTGATCGACCCCAAATGGGGTCGCGACCCATAGGTTGAGAACCGCTGCTCTAGAATGATCCCTTTCTGCTTGGCATTCAGGAAAGCAAAAAAAAAAAAAAAAAACTTTTTTAAAAAAGCATTCTATACTTAATGTTTTAACTAAAAGACTGAAAGGGCATCCTTAGTAAATTTCATGAGACATCTTTTTTTTCTGCTGCCAAACAAGCTGTATTAAATAGTCTGTGTTCCTGAAGAGTTTGTGAAGGCCGTTCCAAAAATATTACTACCTTTGTATGCCATTCCAAAAATCCTGTTTGCCAAGGTAAAGGCAGGATGTGACCTCATATCATAGACTGTAAGCTGCCCACCTCCTCCCAAAGTTGCCCTGGATTCTGGACTACTGTAATACTCAATAGGTGAATTAGTTTAAATTCCTGAGCTTTTTAATCCAGTCATCAGCAAAATGAAACGCCCACATTTTGCAATACCCACATTGTTCTATCCACTTTGACTGTCCAGAAACAGTCTTCTTGTATGGCAGACGAAGATGATATTTCCCAGCAGTATTCAGATTATTTGAAGCCAATGTATTTTCACATAGCTCCTCTATAAACTATGTGAACCCCGCTCAATTGTAGAAGTTTTAATCTCTGTGTGTACATTTCTCTATAAAACTACTATAGACTGATCTTCTTGAGTATTATATTTAAAAAAAGTAAATTATTTCTATGAAGCAGACCCTGTAAATTGGTCATGTTATATAGAATATTTACTTCAATGCTGTTTCAATGGCTGTGGTGTATTTATCAGATTTCTCAAACTGCCTACTTCTTTTTTACATATTAATCAACATTTAGGCTTTTAATTTTAATTTTCTAATACAAAGATTTCTCTGTCTTATCTCAAAATCTTGTCTCACCTCACTCTGCAATTTTTATTGTACAAATTCAGTCTTTCTGAAAGTGGTAAATCATGAGAAAGGGCTATTAAATAGATAAGCAACTCCATGTAGCTTCCTGTTACTTTCTTACCAGCTCTCTCTTGTGGGTCAGAAATAATTCTGGCTTTTAGCTGTACTTGGCCCTAGACAGTTGACCATTCTTGCTTTCTTTGCCTTGATTTCAAATTCATAATCAACTGAAGAAAGGCCAAAAGAGATTTCCACTTGCAATTAAGCATTAAAGCAGCCAAAAGATGGTAAAAGATTGAGACTGTAAATCTCCATACCAAATGGAAGTCAGATTAACATAAGATTAAGCCTCTGTTCCAATTGCTAGATACAAGATCAGTATAGTAGCATGGTTCTGCAAAAATAGGGTTTCTCTTGTTACACCATCTCAGTTATTAGTTTTGGTTTTGAATCCCTCATGAATGAATAGATAAGACAGAAAAGGATCAGGATAAACCTAGACTGGACTACCCTAGATTTTTCTTTATCTTTTCTAAAACTATATAAAAAAACAAAAGCAAACAGCCATCCAGCTTCCATAAAGGAGGCTGAGAAACTATTAAAATTAACTGCTCCCAATTTGGTAGAGCAGTTTTGTTCTTTGCTGATTTGTCTGCTACTGCTTTATCAGGTATTTATTCAGGCACTGCTGCAGATTAATAGTGTTGTGGTATTTCCTGGTAGGGCTGGGAGAGACCCCTGGCTGAAATTGTAAGAGGCATCACATATCAGCACAGAACTGTATTAAGACTGATGACCTGGATTATGATTTGGTGGAACATTCAAAAGATTTTTAGAAAGAAGATAAAGTTTACTCCTCAACTATTTTTACTTGGTATTTTTGTTGACTTAAATGAAAAAGAAACTACTTTGATGTTGAATTTATTAACTGCAGCAAGGTTACTAGTAGGTCTATATTGGAAGAAAGATTCTTTGCCTACTTTAGAAGAATGGATATTTAAAGTATCTAGTTTTGCAGAAATGGCAAAAATTTCTGCTTATTTAAAGGATCATACACAAGAAAGATATATTACTGTATGGGGAAGGTGGATAGATTATATTCAGAAAAAATATGGAATTAAAAAGTTTTATTTATTTTATGAATGAATATCAAATATTATAGAGAATTGTTTTATAAGTTATGGAGTTAAAGGTTAATTATGATATTTTTTTCTCTCTTTTTTTTTCTTTTTTTTAATTATTATAATTTTCTTTTTCTTTTTTTTTCTTAACCCTGTATTCTGCTCTGGGAAGTGAAGGGAGGGGGGGTGGGGGTGGGAGGGAGGGTAAGGGGGGGGTTCTCTATTTTAAAATTTTATTGTATTTTTATAAATGATTCTATGTTTTAAAAAATAAAAATTTTCAATAAAAAAAAAAAGACTGATGACCTAATGGTCTGGCTCAGTATAAACTTTCATTTGTTTGTATTACTATAGTGTTGAGTTCATACTAGAGGCTCCAGACATATTGCAGTTAAACTACTGCAATAGTTAGTTCATCAAAAAAACAGATTGGCTGAAGAGAATCTGGCTGCCCAAGTTGAAAATGTTGGTCGTTACCAAAACACAGTGAAAGCCTGCATTCTACTTCCAATGCATTGCAAACTCATTTAGATAAAAAGATGGCTGCTAGTCCTAGAGAAGTTTTTTTAATTAACATACTGCATGATTAGGATTCACAAGGGCTTAAGTCTCTGCTCAAAGTTAATTTTCTTTTCCAGATCGGATTCCCCCTACTTTATCTAGGCATTCTCGTGAGGACCGACACAATTCTGGATCTAGACAAAGGCCTCATTTATTCCGACAACGACCAGGGCATGCCTTGTACCACTTCTCACGAACTGTCCCCCAAATGCCTCCCAGGAACTGCTCTTCAGTGGGCTCTCGTGGCCACCCTTTCTTCCACTCTCCTGAACTCTCCCAGTTGGATTTTGGAACTATGCATTACTTGCCTTATAGGCCAATTGGCTTTGAGCCTTGGTGTGGCCACCAAGCTCCTCTCAGCAGAAGCCTGTTACTTTCACAGCATCATCTGGAGTCACCAGCGTGTGAGCCAGCCCTGGCCTCTCATAGGCTGTGTCTGCTTCAACACCAGCCATCTTGCCAAGGTCTCAGGGCTCCCCTTGCAGCTCAGATAAATCATGCTGCTCCTTTACATCGAGGAATTCGCCATGGGAGGCATCACCACCACCACAGTAGTGGTTCTGGGGAAAGTTATCTTACAGAACCCAGTGGATACCTTCCTGATGGCCCTGGCAGTGATTCCAGTTCAGGTCCTTGCCATGGCAGTTCCAGTGACTCCATGTTGAATTGCACTGACATCAGTCTTCAGGCTATCCATGGCAGTTGCTCTACTTTTCATAGCTCCCTGAGCAGTGATTATGATCCGTTCACCTTCTGTGGCTCAGAGAAGTTGAGCACAGATAACAAACAAGATTCTTCTTCATCTGGGAGGGATTCACAGCTTCAGTCAGTAGACACAATGGTAACAAGTAGAGCACAACTAGCCAGTAATCATGTCCACTATCATCACCATCACCACAGGCATCACCATTATGGGCAGAAACCTTCCAGCTGTCCAAATGGCAGGCCAAACCCAGAGTCTAATCCACGCAAGATGAAATATTCCAGGACAAAGGTGGGATCACAAAACATCTCAGTACCAAAAAGGACAGAGAAAATGAAAATGCTAGATCTTTCTAGGCAAGGACATACTGAGCTGTATTTGGCAGATGGGTCTGATATTAGCATGACAGCCAGTAATCAAGCTGGAACTATTGGACTGTGGGGTACTCAGAAACACCATGTGCAAATCCATCCAGGTAGAAGGAGATGGAAGTGTCCTCTTGAGACTTCCCCCGAGGACTCCAGCAGAACCCTGGAATGCAGAATTGCTAGCCATCCTGGTGGTTTATATAGAAACCAGGGTTCCCCGGAAATTCAACCTCTTTTAGTAGGCGGTCCCCCTGCGCATAATTTTGCAGCATTGCCGGAGGTATCAAAATGCCTAACTCCATGTTTTACCATGGAGCCCCACGAAAAGAGGGACACGCTGAAACAATTGGATTGTGAACACACATTTCCAGAAGAATGTTCAGACAAGGATGCAACAGGAAGCAACACAAGCTCTTACCTCAATAATCAAGTTCTGCAAAACCTTCAGGGTAAGTTTGAACCTTTAGAGTCTCGTATCTCTTTATTTTCCAGGATCATTTCACCTCTATTTTTCCATCTGCAATATGTATTTTGAAAACCTTGTAACAATTGTCTTTAAAATGTATGTCAAGAACTCCCCCCATAGAATTCTGGGAATAGAATTTAGTTTGTTGGTGAATTTTAATACAATCCTGGCTTGAGAGGGTTGTATTCAGTATAATATGAACAGGATGGGAACTTTTGATCAAAGATGCCAACGCCTTCAGTTCATGGGAACTCAAGCATGATGTGTTTTACTCATCCTGCACCTTCTCTCTAGGAATCAGCACTTAAACTTGCTCTCCAATGGCAATACTTTCAAGCATTGCAAAATGGAAAGCTTTTTATTAAAGCATTTTTTGATAAGGGAAGCATAACTCCGGTGGATATGGATATAGGAGGCTCATCTACATTGTTTGGGCATTGGACTAAATCAGTGTTTCCCAAACTTGACAATTTTAAGGCATGAGGACTTCAACTCCCAGAATTCCACAGCCAGCGTTGCTGGCTGTGGAATTCTGGGAGTTGAAGTCCTCATGCCTTAAAATTGTCAAGTTTGGGAAACACTGGACTAAATGATTTACAAGGTAGTTTCCAACTCAATTATGCTATTCCATCTGAAATTTTGCCTCTGCTGTGAACTTACTGTTTGAATAAAACGTATCTTGTATACATTTTTGTTTATTCAAATGTTTTGAATAAACATTTGGTAGGTCTAGCTGTCTGTCAAAATCAATGACAAAAGTGCTGTAATTGATGGAAGGTTTCGTGGTAATTAGAGATATTCAGAAACAAGGAGTTTGTTAAACCAGTTTAAATGCTGGGTATAATTTACTGCTGTCTCAAAAATGGGTGGATAGATTTGAAACTGGATCACTAGGAATGGCCCTGAACCCTGTGACAAACAAACTTTATGGCTATTCAGAATTCAACTTACCTCTGATAATGGTGACAGCTTTACTGTACAATTGGAAATAAAAGGAATAATCTTAACATTCCCAGGTTTCAAAAAATTTATGACTTTGAATTGTGCCTGAAAATGGATTGAAATATGCCATAAATGCATTCTCTTCATTTAATTTTCTATCTACGAAATGAGAACAGTCTTGACATTACTCTAATGCCATGTCTTCAGTGTCCATTTTATCTATTTTGCAACTTCTTTGTAAGAACAAATCTAAGGAAGATGTAATCTCTCTTGTAGATCTTATTTAATAAGTCTCAGTATCAATTTAGGTTGCAGTTGATCAACATAAAAAGAGATCCATTTTCTTAATCTAGTGTCTTGGTTTTTTTTAATTACAGGATCTACAGAAGATATCCCCAATGTGTATGAACATTCAGTTTGATGTGAGGTGAACTTCACTCTGTCAGACAGCCTAAGAGAAGAGACCAGAAATTCAGTGAGAATGGGCTTTCTTACAAACTCTTCATGTCTCTTTTGTTGGCAATGCAGTACATAAATCTTACTAAATTTTCTGTCCAGACAATTCAACCCACAAGTGGTCACCTGCCTGTCAGAACTATAAGCTGCCAATGTCACTTGCATTGTTTTGGGAAGCTGCCATCTTGAAGACTTTTTCATTTGTTGCAATGGAGGATCCTTACTGTTCATATTGTTGTTCCTTAAGGAGAGTGAAGTGTAATCATTTAAAATTTCCAGGGAAAAAAAGAACCACCATAAAGTTCATTTACATTTGCTTTTTAACTGCAAAATAGAACGGTAGGAACAACCTTACACTTTCACCCCATTCCAAGAGCATATATGATATGCAGGTTGAAATTAGACAGAGAAATTATTCCATTCTACTGCTGTTTTTTTCTTCTTCTGATGTGAATGTGAGTCTTGGTTCAAGATGTAGTTTGCAAGATCTAAACTCTCTTCCCCATCCTTAGCAAAGGGGGTATTGGAGGTCACTCTGGTTCTGCCTCATAGGAATGTTGTTACAGCTCGATTTGCCAAGAAGTCTAGAAGGTCATATCTCCTTTCCTTTTGAATACTGTCTGCTACATCAGATATTAGCATGGGAGAATTCCAAATCTGCTTCCTGTGAATTACAGTTATTGTCTGTACTAACTGAAATGCCTGATCCTCGAGGAGCAAAAAGACCCCATAGCACTAGTTAATGGTTATTTTATTTCAGACCATTTAGAAAACTGAGTTGAAACATGGTAGATAGGAATATTTCAGGATGTCATAAGCTAACAACCTCTATTAACTACGAAAACCCAGTTCTCTACACACCTTTCAACCCTAGATTGGTACTGATATGGAGGGGAGAGTGTTTTCAGAGGCTGGATTTGGACCAAGAATCTCTACCTAGCTCCTTAAAATTGTCGAAAAATAAACTACACCCCTCCCCAAAAGGTATGCCCAGATATTTCCTAGTGTCTTTGCCATGATAGGCCCAAGATTTCAGTTTTTCTTAGAGTAGACCTGATCTAAGATTTAAACCCTGCTCTTCCATCCTCACATCCAGCACTCTGCTACTCTACAACATAGCCCACAATATTATTTCTTCTTCTTCTTCCTCCCTCCTCCTCCTCCTCCTTGGTATCCAATTGTGAATAGGTAACAATTCCAGTCTAAAAACAGTCATACTGCACTTTACATGTGGAAGACAAAGAGCTGACATTTGTAGAATTAGAGTTAATATTTTCAGGTATCTTTTTTTTTTCATTGCTCTGAGTGAATACAAGGCAAGCTGTTTAGTAACTGGTATGCAAAAAACATCCTGAGACATAACTGAATAAGAATGCTGTGATAAGTTGCTAATTGGTAAATGTAACCTATAGTCAAACATCAAGCAGTGGGATATTAATATGGTACTGTTGTGAATGTGGCAAATTAGAGATGTAACTATGGATATTTTTCTTAATTAAAACACTCTGGCATTTTAGGTAGATCCATGCACTGACTTAAATCTGCCTGGGAATAATCAGTATGCTTATCAAACTAATATTCCTGGATTCTCTGGGGAGAAACTATCAATTGAATTGGAATAAAGAGTGATATAAATCTTTATTTTAGATATATTCAGAATCTCACTGAATATATAAGACCATTAATTCCTGAAGCATTGCAAAGACATTCACTCTTTGGCTAAAAATTTTGAATGGGACATAAAATAAAAATGATTTATGATTAAAATGATTCCTTTCTAAAGAACCTGCCAAAGGTTAAACAGAGATTACAGGCTTTTTGAGAGATGAGCAAGGAAATCAAGAGGCGTGTGCTTATTATTGTCACTTTCTTCATAATGTATTGCAACTAATGAATGAGGACCAAATTGGCCAGAGATATATCTTTAAAACTTTATAAGGTTAATGGAAATTCAAAATATATATTTGGAATTTATTATTTTTATTCATTTCATATTTGATAAAATAATGTAAGAAAAGTGTTGATCAGGGTATATGCAGCTGTGATATTAACGAACCAGCAGTAGAAAGAGGAAGAGCACGTTTGGCATGCAAAAAGTAGCAAATTCAAACCATAGTGCTTCCAGGATGAGCTGGGTAAAGTCCCTGATCTGTAGTGCTTTCCAAGATTTAAATCAGAATTGCTGAGCTACCTAGGCTTGATAGTACTGATATGATAGTGTGCCTGAGAATTCTGGTGATTGTAATCCTACACCATCTGGACAATACTAAATTGAGGAAGTATTACAGGTGATATTGATGAGACAGAGATCAGTGATCTGGCTGATTTTAAGCTTTTCTTAATGCAGGTTAAAAAAAAGAACCTGAAAATCCACAGAAATTGCTGATGGATGATTTGTACATCCTTTGATGAGCAGTCATCCAAAAATTGGATGTGAACTTAGAGACATATTCATGGATAAAGAAGATTCATGGCATGTAGGTGTTAGAAAGTTGTAAATGCAGGAAAACAACATATTTAATCAAGTTTATGCAAAATAGGAGGCTCAGTCCTAAAATGTATTAAAAAGCACCACAGCATTGTATCACAGGATAAAGACTTACATTGTTTTGGAAGAAATATACGTCCCCCCTGGGTACAGAATAGGAACAGAGTAACCAGTTCTTTTCATAAAGGGGTGCCCCAAGTCACAGGTTGTGTGTTCTATGGAGCTACCACTGCTTTATTGATGAGGTTCAGTGGGATGTTTTCTACTATACTGCACAACAGGAAGAGCACCCTACATTTACAATGATTCTTCTTCCTCAGCCCTCCCCCCCCCAAAAAAAAACAAATCCAGGAAAATTACACAGAAAAAAGCCCTGTCCCATTATCTCATTCTCACAGACTTTAAGACATGGCCCCAACCCCTCTCTCACACTTCAAAGTTACACATTTGGGGGAAAGTACTAGTCTTTTCAGGTCAATACACAATTTCTTGCATGCTGGGAGTACCTCAAATGGAGCAATTTAGTGGCAACTATAAGAGACAGTAAAAAAAAAAATGGAATTAACCTTGCTGTATTTTTAGATTTAAGCACTGGAAAATGTTTCAGGAACAAAAATAGCGCTCATTTAGATGTTCCAAAACCTGTCAGAAAACATCTGAAGACTAGGCACTAGTTTGGCTATAGTTGTGTTTCAGTTGGAGTCAAAGCACAAGCCATAGAAAGGATGAAAAAAACTCACTCTACAGGGAAACAGTGAGTCAGTGAGAACACGTTGAATGGTTCTTTTCCTTTCAGCACCTTTTCCTTCAAACTTCTTCAGCTGCAGTTGTTCTGCTCCTTCCTCCTGGCAACCTCAGACCCTTTGAAATGTGAATAAGGATTTTATTTTTATACTTTTTAATTATTTTTTTGAATCTACTTTTCAGGCACTTGGGTACTTTTATAAACCAAAAGGAAAAAAAATGTTTATGTATATACATATGCAAAACCAAATATTTATGTCTAAGAGAGAGATTGTTTGAATATGGGGACATGCTCAAACCTATTTATTTTGCTAATATATTTATCCACGTGTAAAGCTGTTCATGTGGCTGTTATTTTTTTTCTGTATAAAATCATGGGTGCCTATGTTCAAGAGATGCCTCTTCCTGTTTATTTGTCAGAAATATTTTTTTAAAACATTTATATGTTGACTTATAATGTACATGAGAAATAACACTGGAAGGAAATCTGGGTATGGTTTGAATGGGTTTCCTTTAGTACTTCCTAGATTATAGAGAGACAATCCTAGCTTATTCTGGCCTCTTTGAAAGCAACTTTGTGACAATAGGAGATTGCAGCAAAACAGTATAATCCATGAGGCTGCCCCATCATATCATTGGGGTATATATGGAAAAAATTTCCCATACATTGCAGGATATGGTCAAAATCAGTTGATAATCCTGATCTATCTGAACTAGGTTCTCATTTTGTTTCTTCTTTGCAGTGATTATGCACTTGTGATCAACTCTTATTTTGAAAGGTTGGAGACTGGCAGGATTTAATGGGGAAATTTATAGAGCCATTGAATATTAAAGCTGTGGTAATCCAGATTTTTGCTTAGGGTTGGAATCTAGCAATTAGATCTTAAGAAAGATTTCTTGCTTTCTGTAGTATGTGGCAGATAATAGCAATACCACTTAGACTTATATATCACTTCACAGTGCTTTACAGCCCTCTCTAAGCGATTTACAGAGTCAGCATATTGCCCCAACAATCTGGGTCCTCATTTTACCAATCTTGGAAGGATGGAAAGCTAAGTCAATCTTGAGCTGGTGAGGATTGAACCTCTGGCAGTTAGCTGAATTAGCCTGCAATGCTGCATTCTAACCACTGCGGCACCACTAGCATTGATTATTATACCCTGGATTGATTCTCAAGAGTTTGTGATTGGGAACACTATTTTGCAATGGCTTCTTCCTCAGGGTTCCAGGTGGTGGTGGCAGAAGAGTGGTTGGCTTAGTGGCCGTGCTGCATTGGTTGGTTCTTTCCCTTTGTGAAACAAGTGTGTGAGGTTATCCATCAGTTCAGGATCTCTATGGAGATTCTCAGTCATCTAGGTCATGGTTATCTCAAAGGTACTTTTTCAAAAGGCAGCTGGACTTTCTTTGTTTTTCCCTAAGACATTTTGCTTCACATTCAAGAAGCTTCATTGGATGATCATCTTGGATGAGAAGCGAAATATCTTCAAGGAAATAACAAAGTCCAGTTGCCTTTTGAAAAAGCACCTTTGAAACATCAGTTCAGGATGCAGCAGCATCAGTCTGTTCATAATATTCAACTTTACATCTCTATCCTGGGCCAAACTGACAAGGCTACTGAGGTCTTGTCTTGGTGACTAGAGGCTGAAGGTCTGGATGGGACAGAATCCTATTTGTCCATTATGATATCTGTATGGCTTCAATGTTGCCTCGTGGTCAGGAAGCACTACCCCTAAAGGCTGACTTCAAGACTTGGAGTTGCTGCTCCTTCTTCAACAGCAGATGGGAGGTATAGCCAGGGAGTCTTTACAGTATTGCACATAGTTGTGGACCTATGTATGGCGAGAGGGTCTTGCTACAGTTATTCATGCCCCCATCATCAACTATACTACTGAAATGTACTTACAAAGGGATTGCTTTGAAAGCCACAGTGGTCCAAATTGCATTAGCCTGTGTATGTTCATCAATGGGAGCCCATTACTGTTGTGCTATGAGCCCTGGATGAGCTTCATGGAGGCTTTGGAGTACTGGTGTTAATCAAAACTCTTATGCAAGACCAATCTGGGGCAGTCATGCCCCCATCATCAACTATACTACTGAAATGTACTTACAAAGGGACTGCTTTGAAAGCCACAGTGGTCCAAATTGCATTAGCCTGTGTATGTTCATCAATGGGAGCCCATTACTGTTGTGCTATGAGCCCTGGATGAGCTTCATGGAGGCTTTGGAGTACTGGTGTTAATCAAAACTCTTATGCAAGACCAATCTGGGGCAGTCACCAGGACCAGAGCTTTTGGACTCGTGCTGGAGCCCATCCTCAGGGAATACCGGAATATGTGCTTTGGGTTATTCTATGCTCTTAAAATGGCTTGGCACCAACTTTTCTTCAAAATTGTAATCATCCACTAGACTTGGCCAAACCCATTTGATCTTACCATGAAAAAAGCTGGTGGTTTGCCACTTTTGGGAGGTAGGGATACTGAAGCACAGAGATGTCTCTTTTCTATATTAGTCCCAGTTCTCTGGAATGACCTGCATTTATTTTAGCCTGACCTTACTTGCCTTCTGGAAGACAGACTTTTCCAGAGAGCATTTGAGGTTTGATATGCTTTTTAAAATTATCTACATTGTTTTATTATTTTTGAATTTTATTGGATCATGGATATTTCAATATTTGCGTTCCAATGAAACTGCCTGTGAGATAAATAGATAAATTCAACATGCACATATAGAAATAACAGATCACCCTGAATAAGTAATATATGTAGTCAACCTGTGCCATTTTATAAATCCCAGAGATGTTATCCTGAGCGAATGAAAGGAATGCAATGAACAATTGCAAATCACATATCAAAATGAAAAAATACTCAAGTGTTAAATGATGGGAAAATGACGTGCAAATGCAGCAAATATTAGTGGTGTATGTTGGAAGGAATGAAGGACACAATTTCTAATGTGAAAACGGTTTCTGTACTCATGGTACAAGAGAAGACATGCTAACTGCTCCACATTCAATACTTGAAGAGCTGCCACAGGGAAGAGGACATTGATTTATTCTCCGTACCACCTAAAGGTAGGACAAGAAGCAATGGGTAGGAGCTTGTCAGAGGAAGATCCTGTCTGAAAATAAGACAGTTCTGATAGCAGTGGAACAGCTGGCCTCCAGGAGTTATGGGCGTTCCATTCCTGGAGGTTTTAAAGAAAAGACTTGAACAACCATGGTCCAAGATGATATGCCTTGGGTTGGGGGTTGGACTAGATTAGAAGACTCTCAAAGTCTCTCATTCCTATCATTCTCATTTTGGGAGGAAGGATTCTCATCAGCAGGGCTTCTTGTGCTTTTTTTTTTTTTTTTAACAGAACAGACCAGAGGTAAGCAACCTTGGCTCTTTTATGAGCCAAGCTTGCCTACCCCTGGGATAGACAGACTTACCAGGGCAAATCGATATTTAACGTACCTTGATAGCACCAATTGCCATCAAATATTCCAAAGTTAATTTCGAACAATTTAAGTGACACATGAAATAAAATTAAAAATATTTAAATGACTCTTTCCAAAACAATTTATAGTGTACACTTGTCAGAGGCAAAAAGAATCACACTACTACACCAAAGTGAAAGTTCGATTTTGGCGGCAAGATCTTTTTCCCCTATCGAAACGTCGCGTGACTACAATCGGTAAAACCATCGCTCAGTTTCTAGAGGCGGAGCTTATGAATTATTCGGGCGCTTGCGCACAAAACAGCATCGAATAACGCAACGCGCCATTGCTGAATGACACCAGTTCATCTCACACACGCACACAGAGTTGTGCGCATGCGTCTCTCAGGAGTAAAACGAGAGAACTCCCAGAGCGGCACAGTACTATAGTGGAAGCCTTTTGGTGAGGGAAGTGACGTGTGTTTGGCTGTCTGCTTTCTTCCCTTAGGTGTATGCTGCCGGTTGGTGGTGGTCATGGCGTTGGAAACGGTACCTAAAGATCTGCGGCACTTGAGGGCTTGCTTGCTGTGCTCATTGGTCAAGGTGTGCCTTCCGTTTAGCGAAGCGGAAATTCCTTTTTTAAAAAAAATCTAGTCGGAATAGTACTGCGCTCAATATATTTCTAGGTTGGGTCGGGGACGTGTAAGTCCTGGGAGACCACGTTGGTGGTTTTTTTTTTCTTTGCCGACGATGGCTTTCCTAGCCCAGCACCTTGTTTATCTCTATGGTGTTGTCTCTTGAAATATCCGATTGTGAGAAGGAGGCTATCCCTTAAGTGACATTGTCGGTGAAAGTCATCCCACCCAATAGACCAGGGGTTTTTGTTCCTTTTCTCTCCGTTCCAGCAGTTGATTATGTGCCATCAAATGGTTTTTGACTTCTGGCCACCTCGTGGTAGATTTTTCTCCATGACGATCTGTCCCTAACCTGGTCTTTACTCAATTTCGTTGTGAGTACTTAATTTCGTTGTGAGTCACACAATGACAATAAAGATATTCTATTCTACTTAAACGGCGCGTCCATCACCACTAACTGAGTCCATCCACCTTGCTGTGGTCTTCCTCTTCTCTTGCCTTCCACCCTTCCCAGTATTTAGAGCCTTTTCGTCATCGTAAAATGCGTCCGACGTAGCTCCAGCAATAGCTGGGGCATATTTGGCAGCCTTCCCCCACTTCAAAGCTTGTCTCTCAGATAGGTTGACATACAGCAGTACCCTTCCCCTCCTTTCTCCCATTCAGTAAATACTTTCTAAAATTATTTGCTTGGAATTTTAGTTTGCTTGCTGTGAATACTGTTGAATGTGTTTAGTTTTTTAAATGCTTTACCCTTGTTCCTCTACTACATTGTTTGCAAATATGGGTAATTGTGTTTTTACTGATATTCATCATTTCGAATAATATGTAACAAATTGGATTGTAATCTGAAATGATAAGAAAGCACCATGAATTCCAGAGTAACAAGTCAGATTTGCATTTGGAAATCTTCATAAAGCCTTCCTCTAATAAATGTTCAATAGCAATTATTTATGTAGAAAGTATAGTTTTCCCTTCTTCAACTGATTTGAACATAGATCTGAATAGATAAAGGTAAAAAATCCCATTTTTTGACCTTTCCTTAGCAATAATGTAGAAGTGCTTTGCCTTCGCTTTCTTATTTTTTTAAATTTTTAAGCTAGTCTATAGTACTGGGGTTTCCTGGTGGTCTCCCAGCCAAGTGTTAACCACTTTTTCCAATTCAGCTAATATTGATTAAGTGCTATCTACTTGGATGACACATGTAAATCAAATTAATAAACCACATGTTAAAGAGTGGTAGAGATACTCAGAATACTACTATTCAGACATAATTCACTTCTGAGGTTTCATAAAAACTTGTCACACATCACTACCTACATGGGCTGTTTTTATCTTTATAA